TATGCATGAGGAAACTGAGGCACGGCGCTGGAAAGCAGCTCTCCAAAATCACACAGTTACACCCAATCCCCGCAGCAAACCATACAACTTTCTGCCTTTAAAATCACCATGAATGCTGGAGAGCCAGCTGAGAGCGATGAACTCTAGCGAAGGTGAGCATGGAAGAAACACAAACCATGTCCACTTTCCTGTGGGTTTTGGCACTCCATACCAGACAGGAACTAGCTTTCCAAACGCATAACTCAGCCCAATTCCTCTTCAAGCTCTTTTATGTCATGACACTTCTGGGCTTGAACCCCAGGACCTTGTCCTGTGGAACCCAGTTAGCAAAACACCACAAGAGTCCCAAAACAAACCGTGCAGGTGGCGTAGGGACCATGGGAGGCAACTGCAGTTCTTCCTTTTACATCCCCATGTCATGATGGATCGATGCAGTGTCATCCCTCTGCGACGTAATTGTCCTGCTGTTGGTGCTTGATCCATGAGAAAATGATGTAATTAATAATCATTACGTAGATTTCTGTAGCATCTTTCATCCAAGTGTTTCAAAGCTCTTTACAAACATTAATTAAGACTCATAAATTGGAAGTTGCATAAGAGGTATATGGGGATCTCTTCAGGGCTGAGATGAAGCCATCTCTTGGGCAGGATGTTGCAGCTGATCAACACCCTATAGCAACTGCATTTCCTCTTTTGATATTATTTTTGTTAACTGATGCTCTTTGATACATATTTGTACATGTGCCCAGAGGCTGGTTTCAGGATAATTAACTGAATTATTATATATGTTTTTTGCATAACAAACTGAATTATTTAATTGGCACATTACCTAAAAGGCTGCTAATAGACAAAAATATTCAAAAGGTGAGAAAGTGTGAAAGAATGGGATGAATCATTTAGGGAACACTAAACATCTTTGGTCAAAAAAGTTTGCACCCAGTCCTTTACAAACATGCATAATAACTGACCCAAATCTGACCCTGTGTCCAGTATACTGCACACAGATTTCTCTTTATTTCCATGTAACTGGGTGTTGTTAAAGGGTCTGGTTTTGCAGATCAAGCTGCAAGTTTTAATTTATATGTTGGGGTTGAAAGAGGACTCAATGTATTAGAGAGTCCTGGTCTGCCAGGCTGCCCCAGTTGCAGCTGGCGGTAAAATTCCCGTGAAAGCCTGTACTCTGGACCCTCTTTCTGACCTTACACACTGATCTTTCTACCGCCATGCCCATAGACCCTGACTGATGTTGCTTCTCTGGGTGAGCAGTGGTAGAAGCAGGTACGTTTTCTAACCGGTTTATTTAGCTGTGCATATCTGCTTCAAGCAGCGTGGACCCTTTCATGCTGGGACACGCAGTCTCCTGAGACTGCACTACCAGCTGCAAAGTGACAGTTGCTGCCATCAGTAAGCGAGGCTGTCAGAAACCTGACCAGCTGGCGACGTGATTTTGGGGTGGGTAAATTGCAGGCATCCCCCATCACGCTCAATGAGGAAGATCTTCTATGTTGTAATTAATTTTCGGACAGCAGCTCCTTTTCCAAAAACCTCATCCAGCCTGTCAAAGTCTCTGGGATAATTCAATTATCTCTTCATCAGATTCTAGATAATTGATGAAACCTCAAGCTACAAGTATGTTTGGCACGAATTACATTTCCTGGATTGAAATATTCTCCCCTTTTTGGGAATATGCAGAAGGGCTGAAGCTCCAATCCACAGTTAGTCACTGATCCTTGGACCCTGGAGATCTGAACTGGAAGCACGAATAACATCAGGTTCTGGAGTTTTTAACAGAACATGACAGTATAATTAACTGAGCAATCAGTTGAAATATGACTTCAGGACATAAATTGGCCAACATCAGAGAAGCCGGGGGACAACCCCCTAAATTAAAATAATAAAAGGAAAAAAAAATGCCTCGCTGCCTGGTGATTTTTCCCTCTCCATAGCTAGAAAAATAAACAAACTTTAATATTTGAAAAGCTCTAAATGGGATGCTCTTGTTTGGACAGAATTAATAAAGCAGAACAAGACTTCACTGATAGCTTGGCGTCTTTGACTCAGATAATTAATCACAGGGAACTGCTCTGCTCAATTACAACATTCACAAAAATACAAATGCAACAAATCATGTTACAGGCCATTGCCATTTCTCACATCTTTGGGACAAGCCATTAATTTATTTACATGTATTTACATGATGTTGGGATTCTATCTCATATATAGACTTCTCACTACTTTGGGAATACAAATAACAAAACCTATATGACTATGGGCTTTAACAGCTTAGATCTTTCTCTGGAATCAATAATAATGTCCAAAATACCTAAGGAGTCAAAGATGACTTTGTACAGAAACACACTACAAGCTTAAAAATCATATATTCTAAACATTGCCATTAGCACTGTTAAAAAAAATGCAGAATCTTATTTCAAACAATTAGACATCTTTGATGAACTTTCAAAATAAACAATACAAATGCTAATTGCTAATAATCCAAGAATTAATGGTGGGGGAGAGTGGGAAAGATGCTGCACATACATACAATGGTGCACAGTGGGATGCTGGGGAAGCTGTAAAATTGGGAAGATGCAACTGATACCATTACAGTGGGGGTGCTCCAAAACTGCAACTGCAGCAGCTTCAATTACAGACTTGTATTTTTCTCTTTTTTTTTTTTTTTTTTTTTTTTAATGGGAAAACAAGTGGCTGCATGCACACATAAAATTCACGGCAAATTTGGATGTGGCTGACCTCAGTCCATTAGCCTTAATGGGAACAGGAGGGTTGATACTGGCTTCTCAACTGTGCTGAGGATTTCAAAGAGAATTATCCCACATCCCAGCCTGGCAAAAATGAACTGATTTCATTAAAACACTGTAATACCTCCTTGCCTCCTTTCACTGCGCGCATGCCCAAGGAGGAAAGTTTGTTCCTCTGTGCCAGGCATTTGGGCACAATGAAGGGGCAAGGGGTTTCGGTCTGGCTCTGAGTGGGTGAGTGGGTGGGTTAAAACCTCAACCTTAAGGTGTAATGGAGAAAAAAATGGGGGGAAAAAAATAAAAGCCTCACTCCCAGCAGAAAGAGCTGCGTCAGTGACCTGCTGCTGACGATCTCTGAGCATCCGAGCTCTGTGGAAGGAGCGCTGAGCCGGAGCATGGACATGGGAAACAGAAAAGCACAACTTCTGCAGCTTTTCCCAGCACTGACCCTGCTGCAGGCTGCTCCTCTCACAGCCCCTTCTGCAGTGCTTTCGTGCCGCTCTGGAATGATTCTGATTTACTGAAAACTAACCAGTTGGTTCTTACCTCCAGTCTGTCCAGGTGGTATTGCTGGTGTTGCGTGGGGCTCACCTCAGATGACCTTTCTCTAATTCACAGTGGTTTTCCCGACTTCTTGGCCATTTATGGTGTCATAAATGCTTGAATGAAATCAAGATGCTTTTTTTTTTTTTTTAGAAATATAGTTTAAAACCATTTTCTGTGTTTCTCCATTTATGCGTTTTTCTTCCCCTTTTGTTCTCCTAAATGTCTCAAAGAGTATGAGAAGTGATGCAGCACGTGACAGCAGTCAGGTATTTCTACAAACCAGGGCTACTGGGAAAAGACAAAGCTGAGTGTGATTTTTGTCCTTTCAAAACTTTCCTGGCAGTTATGCGGACAACAAACATGGAGATCTTTAAATGCAGGAAAAAGACACATCCCCACGAAGCACAGGCGCTACCCCCACACATAACCGCAGCGTTTTATCCCAGACTTTCTGTCCGTGGATTCAGCTGTAAAGTGGAAATTATTTACCCATCACTTTCCCCTTCGGGGATCTCAGCACCCTAACTCCTGCCCGCCAGCAGTCTGGGCGCACACCAGGAGATGGTGCCAAGCCCCCGGCTCCTGCACTACCAGACTCTGCACGATTTTCACCAGGAAAAGTCCCGCTCTGGCTGTCTCTGAGCCATCCATCTGCAAGGGCTGCAATTAAAACACCAATCAACGCACACTGGGATCTGAAGGGAAAGTTGTTTTGTTTTTTGTTTTTTGTTTTTTCTCCGACCAAAAGCTGCCCAAATAGCTTTAACTCTGATTCAGCGGTATCTGCCGTAAGTGCCTGAAACCCGCCTGAGCTTGGGCAGAATAAATATTTTTTTGGTTCTATTTAGAAAAAGGATCTGGCTCTTTGGGCTTGCGTCTGGTGGACGTGGGTACCGCTCGGGGGGAGCGCTGAGCTTCTGGAAATCGAGAAAACCCTGCCAGATCTGCGAGGCACGAGCGTAAAATATCAATTCATGCTGCAAAGCGACCGGGAGGTTTAGGAGGAATAAAACCTGGTTGATCCACGAAGTTTCGGAATGACTGCTATAAAAATTCATCTGCACTGGGAGGCGCAGCTTTTACACTTAAAGTAAACCCCAATTCCCGGGCAGCCGTTCCCCCTCGCTCTCCGCTCTGCCTTTACCACTTTAGGGAAACCCACGGGATTACGGGGTAAAATTAATATTGCTCAAGCGAGCAGAACCCAAGAAATCCCCCAGGGAGGGGCCGTGGACCCCTGCGCGCCTCCCTGGGCTGTGCGTGAGTTTTAAAATCCCCCCCTCACCCCTCCTCGGTGACACCCCGGGCTGCGATAAATTCCCCGCAGCCCCCACGCGTGTGCGGGAAAGCTGCAGCCGCGGAGCCGCAGCATCGCCGCCTGCGGGCACCCGAGGGGGCGGAGGGGTTAAAAATACTAACGGTAACGGAAGCGATAAAAAGCCGGGCAGGGAAAACGGCGTAAAAGACCCCAAAACGTGGGCGCAGGTGAGAGACGGACACACACACACACACACACACACACACACACACACCCACTCCCATCACCCCGCCCGCCGCGGGTGTCGCAACCGCGCCCGGCCTCAGCCGCGCCCCGCGGGGAGGGAAGGGGGGGGGGGGGAGGCGGCGCGCAGGCAGCGCGCAGGCAGCGCGCAGGGGGCGCGGGCAGCGCTGCCGGCCCCGCGCCCGGCCCCGCGCCGCGGCGGGTTGCGCGGCCGCGCAGCGGCGCCGCCGATGCTGTCGGTGCCGGTGGCGGTGCCGGGGGCGGTGGCGGGCGCGGGGGCGGTGCGGGGAGCGGGCTCCCTGCCCCGCCGGCGCACCATGTGCAGCGGCGTCGGCTGCTTCTGGGCGCTGCTCTCCGCCGGCCTCCTGGCCGCCTGCGCCGCCGCTTTCCTCTCCCCGGCCTGGCTCCTGCCGCCCGGCCGAGCCGCCGCCGGCTTCGGTTTGCTCTGGCGCTGCGCCGGGCCGCCCCGCGGCTGCCACGGCTCCGCCGGCCCCGGCGGCTTCGGAGACATCCCCTCCGGTTCCTGGCAGGTGAGCGCCTCCCCCAGTACCCGCGGCGGACACCCCCCACCCCACCCCACCCCGCCTCCTCCGGGCTCCCCGACATCCCCCGTCCCCTCCCCGGCATACCCCCTGCCTGCCTTGGGCTCCCCGCCATCCCCCCATCACCTCCCAGCACCCCCTCGATGTGCCCTGGGCTCTCCAGCACCCCCCCACCCCGTTCCCTCCATCATCCCTCCCATATACCCCCAGACCTGCTTCGGGCTCTCCAGTATCTCTCCGTCCTCCTCGTCCTCCCTAAGGTCCCTGTCATCACCCCAGCATCCCCAGTTCTGAGCCAGGTTCCCCAGCATCCCCCTCAACCTGTCCCCCAGACCTGTCCCAGCATCCCTGTCCTGCCTTGAGCATCCCCTGCATCCCCCATGCTGCCCCTGAGCATCCCCTGCATCCCCCCACTCTGCCCTCGAGCATCCCTTTCATCCCCTGCATCCTCTTCACGTCCTGCCCCCCGAGTGTCCCCTCAGCACCTCCTGGGTGGCCCGTGGTCCCCATGGGGTCACATCCCTCTTGGGGATGTTTGGCCACGCTTGGGGTGCTGCACAGAAACCTCCCGGGTGACCTTTGTGGTGGTCAGCGCAGCCTGAGCGTGGCCACGGTGCGCGTCCTGACCTGGCCACCCTGCCGTGCCGGGGCCTCAAATCCCTCCGACCTGCCCAGGGTGAGCTCCTGCGTAGGGGTGTGGGAGGGAGTCGGGGAGAAAGGGGAGAGGTTTGGTGCTCCCCGGCGAGGCGTTGAGCATCGCTGGCCGGCTGTTTGCTAAGTGGGAGAGGAGCGGGGAGGCGGCTGAAGCTGCTGCCCCTGGGACGTGCGGATCCAGGAATCGAGCCTGGATGTGGGAGACTGCGGCCGTTCCCCTGCCCGGCCAGCCCGGGGTGATGCCCTTGCCAGCTTTTGGGAGGAAGGAGGCCAAGGCCTCCCCACTTGCCCTGTGGGGGCCTGGGGTTGCTGTGACGTCCTGGGGTGACAAAGAGCTGCCCGTCCCCGCTGGGTGTGTGTGGGGACCACACAAAGCCCAGCCCCGGCATCCCGCCGCCCGCTTGCCCCTGCCCTTTCTTCCTCATCTCCTTTCCTTTTATTCTTAGCTTCTTACCCTGAGGTTGTTGTGATTTCACTACCATGGCTGGAAACACATGAGCTTTTGACTTGCTCCGGGTTGCTACGTTGCAGAAACTCTAATACGAGGGTCAAGTCCCCAAGTGGTTGTGGCTTTGACCAGCACAATGGGTGTCAGTAGTTGAATTTCTCAGCCTGCCGTGAAGCTGCGCTGTTCTCTCTCCCAGGATACCAGGTCTGCGTGCGATTGCTTAAATCCCATCATGGTCCTTAAAATTGTCATTAAAGACAAATATTGTGAATTGCAAAGAAAAGAACCGGCTGCATAAAATCCTTCCTATTTATATAAAAATGTGCAAAAACGCTCTTGTTTCCATAAGCTGGCCTTTGTTCAGCTGTTTTTGCAAATGTAATTCAGATAAACACTTTGAAGTAATAACAAACTTTAAAGATAAGAATGAAGCTCAGCAGTGACTCATTTGAACAAGCTTCAGCTACACACAGCCTCAGCCTCTGAGAACACTTTAGATCTGGAAAATAATATAACACAAAGACTGAGCTCCTGAGCTTGGGCTGTGGTAGGGATGAATAGTATCATGGTACTGAGTGGAGATTACAGGGGATTTGGTGACACATCCTTGTCACCTTTATTAATACCACCCAAATAATTAATGAACAACAAACAGTGCAGTCTCTTTCAGGGGAACGTGCTCCCCTACCAGCTTTCTGCCATGATGAGGATGAGAATACCTGTTGTGATGGCTATTTGATGGGGTGGAATATAATAAAATATCCCTGACAGCTTTGCTAAGGCAGGGAACAGCTTTGGCTTTCATGCATGAGCAGCCCTCCAAACCCACACGCCTCGGTGCTTGGGACGGGGGGAGCTGAGTGCTGTGAGCCCCGTCCGCAAGTTCAAGCAGGAGATTTTCCTTTTTGGGGAGATGGGGAAATTGTTGCTCTTTTTTCTTTGCTTTCAGAACTTGTGACATTCATTTCCAATCTTTCAAGCAATCTTGCGGGCAGCTCCTTTAAATGAAAGGCAAGAGCCTAACGTGGATGGGAGTCCAGGAGTTTGGAAAACAGCCACCAGTTTTCTGCTGAAGTGGCAGAGGCTGGTGAGAAGGGTGCAAAGCTGTGGCTCTGGGGGCAAAGGAAGCAAAATCTGACATGGGAATCAGGAGCTCTTCTAGCGTGAAGCTGGTGCCACATCTGGGGAGGATGCTGAGAGCACATCTGGGGAGGATGCCCACCTGCAGCGCACAGGGGGTGGAAGCAGCCCGCAGCCGGGATGTCCATCCCCAGGGAATGTTGTTCTTTTTGTTTCCTGAAACGTGCACATTTACCACATTTCAAATGTTTCCCTGTTCAAATTCGCCGATTTGATGAAGGGGTGGGGGAGCATTCAGCCCTGCAAATGATCGTTAATGCCAGTTGTGTGTTTGCACTTGGGGGATTATGTTAATCATGCTACAAATGATGCTTTGAATCATGTCTAGAGGTTAATTAACATGCCTTTCTTCTCTTAAGAGGGCCTTCATGTCTGCTTAGAGTTGCTGGCTTTTTTTCTGCTTCCTTTTATAATTACTTTGCAGCTCTCTAATATCATGGGTACCTTTAATTTAACCCTGTCAGTGCTCTGGCTGCCGGGGCTTTGCACCATGCTCAGCATCATGATGGTGATTTGATGGGATGGAATATAATAAAATATCCCCGACGCCTGGAGACGTTGTGGCCAGGCTGTCTTGCACACTCTGAGACCTTGCAGGAGCTGATGGAGACTGGAGAGGGTCTGGCTGGAGCCAGGTGAGGAGAGAGGATGATGATTGTGATATTGCCCAGGGGCCACGGCCAGTTTATGAGTGGGGCCCTTACATGAACAATTAATGGAAAGGAGGATCTGTTGTGGGAGGACCTGGAGCTGTGAGGGATGGAGAAGGGCATCCCAAGGGGTGCAGGCACTGTGTGGAGAGGGGATTGCTCTTGGGAGGCCAACTGGTAGTGCTGGGAGGTTTCCCGAAACAGGTGAGCTTTTCAGCTCTGAGCTGCTTCATCACATCTCACCACTTTTCTTTGGTGCCAGATCACCGTGTGCATATGTCTGTGTGCAAAACAGCTCTTCACCCTGAGCTAATTTACTTTCTCTTTCAGTGGGAGCATTTGGCTCCTGAGCTCCTGTCTCAGTGCTGCACTTTGGAAGCTAGCGCTGCTTCATTTCAAATTTCTATTTTTATTTTTCCAGATAGTCTCCAATTATTTTCAGGCTTTGCCAAGCGTGTAATCGAAACCAACGAAGAAGCTGACCAGCCCGTAGTATTCAGGTTAAAACCACATGGACCACTTGCCTATGAAGCCAGTGATGCCCTGCTGGAGCAGATAACCCACTCAGGACAGGGGAAAGGCTTTTCATGGCCCCAGGAATTCTCCGAGTGGGTCTTTCCTGTGTTTTTGCCCAAAGCAGGACTTGAAAAGATTGAGCAAACCTTAGTGAAAATGAACGGTAAACCTGCTTACCTTTTTATTAGAAAATGCTGAAAGGTTTCGTAAACCTTCAATTCCAGTTTCTTGCTGTGTCAGTTCAGCACTGGGTTCCTGATGTACTTTGAGGTTTGCCCGCTGGGGTCAGGTTTGCAGAGCTACGCAGAAGCCCCATTCCCAGTGAAAAAGCACGCGGGGTGCTCATGGAGATGGGAAGATGTTTGGGAAACCCGTCAATCCTCTTCTAGCACAGGCTCTGGCACAAGGGAGGGCTGAGCATTTTGGGGGTCCCCAGCTTGCAGTGTGACCCAAGCAGGAAGCCACGTGCGAGACGGGCTCTCGGGCAGATTCTGCTTTACCTCTGGGGGCCATGTATCAGGCCAGCCTGTTAATTTGGGATTATCAGGAAATCAATTTTTAGCTCCTCATCCTAAGAACTTCCCGAGGGAGCAGATCCTTCCTGGTTTACTCTGCCTACCAGTCAGTTTGATTTTTAATTGCACTTACACAACCTTGGCAAGAGGTGTAAGTGCTCAGCAATTCCTGAAATCACCATCTTCCTCTTTATGCATATTACCTTGCAGTAGACTTTATCTCCTTTCATTAGCCACCCAGAGTTTTTTGACCTACATTAACAGAACAGAAAATACCCGCTGTTGGGGAAACCTGTAATTCCTGGGCTCTGGCCCCATGCTTCAATGCCTGAGTAGCAAACCATAACCAGGACTCACTGAGTAGTTAACTGCTCACCACTAAACTGGGCTGAAATGAGTGCTGAGACAGGACCACCTTAGGGGTGAGCCACGGAAGGTCGAGCTGACGGGTTGATTATACAGACAGGCTGCTCTTGGGATTAATTCTATCAACTCTGCTCTCAATGGGAGACAGAAGCTGCTTTGCTTAAACAAAGGCACACAGAGGGGGGTATTAGCCACGGAATTGCTGCTTGGGCTGAAGGGCCCAGGGCTGGGCAGCAGCCAGGGCTTAGCTGAGACATGGCTGCTCGTGACAATGATGACTGGTTCACACTGGGTCGCCTGCCCACAAATCTGCTCAACAAACAGGGAGTCCTGGACCCTGCACCTTGGGAAGGGCATTGCCTGGGCACATCAGAGACATTTTGGGCTGAATGTTGCATTTCCCCTTTGTAGGGCCCAGAGCAGAGTCTGACACAGGTGGCAGGGTCATGGCAGGGACATTTTGACAGTGGGACACTCCCTCGATCCTCTTGAGGCTGCAAGTCCTACTCCCTTTGGGCTCCTCTCCACTGGCTTTGTAAGGAAAGCGAGATGGAAGAGCTTCATGACCTGCAGCACGTTCCCTAGCCCAGGATGATGAGCCCAGCTTTGCCACCAGCTCTGGCAAAGAGCTTATCCCAAAGGATAATAACAGAGTGCGGGTAAGAAGGTCTGATCTGGTACCCAGCGACAGCACACTGC